ATCCACACAATCCTGATTTACAGGGTAATCCTGATTTACAGGATGTAGGTGCTGCAGGAACTGAAATTTTGCTGAGGTCAAGCCATCCCTCCTCGAGCTGAGAGCTTTTTGGCTGCATCTTCCTTGAGTGAGCAATGACCTGTGAGAGCCTCAGTCCCTGGGCTGCACAGGGTGTTCTCCAACAAACCTCTTTTTTTTTTTTTTAACTTTAAAGGCTTTTTGGTTTGAATGGAAGCAAACAGCACAACCTGGCTGCTCTTGGGTTCCACACAGCACACCTGGCTGGGCTGAGCCAGTGAAGGAGGTGTTGTGGCTGGAGAGAGAAGAATGTATTGTTCAGAGACCTTTTGTGCTCAGAGGTTTGTTCTGTGGTTAATGGTGTGCTGTGAGCCCTGACCCACGGGGGAGGTGCTGTATTCCAGGGAATTCCTTCATATCCAGTGTATGTACTGCAAACCAAACCCCAGGCTCCTATGGAAACTGAGTCTAATGGATCCCTCTGTGTTTTGGGAGGGAATTTAATTGATCCTATTTCCCCTCCACTAGTTTTAGGGGAAGAAATGAGCTGCTCCTCCTGATGCTCAGGGAGAGGTCTTGCCCAGTGTGAACAGGCAGTGCCAAATAATTCACTTCAGATCTCCATTTTAAAGAGAACTCCAGCTGAGAGGCAGGTCCTGGAACCTTTGCCCTGTTGCTGTCTTCTGATGGATCAGCATTGCCAAGCCCTGACATTGATTTAATTTGTATTGTTTGCTGTCTCTGGCTCTGCTGTCCCCTGGAATTTGGAGACAGAACAGTGCCTGGACAAATTAACTGTGAAAGCACTGACCTAATGCTGGAAAGATACACCATGTGCTGTGCTGTTGGAATCATATTTGACAATTTCTGGGATTCTGGATGGTATCTGAAGCATCTGGGGACTGCTGCTGTGTATGAGGCCAGGATTGAGATGCCTCCTAATAATTCATGGGTTCAAGTCTTGAGTGGTTATTGCTGACATGAGAGTTATTTCTTTTGAAAGGGAAGGCACAAAATAGGCATTAATCTATAGCTGGTATCTTATAAAATATCTACATAAATATATCTATCTATATATTCTATGTATAAATATAAATAGAATATCTATACAGATTAACCTCTAAGCAGAAAGCCCTGTTGGAATCAGCCTCTTTTCCACCTCTCAAAATATCGTTAAAATGGGGAACAACTCGTGGTAAAATATATACAGATATATAAATATTGGATATGTGGTAAAACATATAAATATGTAAATACTGGACATGTGACAAAACATATCTTCCACAAGTTTTGTGGGATAATATCCCATAGCAGAGCTTGGGGACATGTCCCACATTGCTGTCCACGAGGCTGGTGATGGCAATGCTGAGATCCCAGGAGGAATTGAGAATCACTGCTCCTAGTTTTTGGGATGGGTGACCTGGAATTCACTTCTCAGGTGTCTGGGCTGTGCTTTGCCCTGTGAGTACAGGTATGCACACACCTTATTTTAATTCAATATTGGCCAAATAACAGACATATTCAATTCCTGTGCCAGAGAGCACTTGATGCAATTTATCCAAACACTGATTTCCCACTGAGTGGAGTTTTAATTGAAATATTGCACCGAGCAGGGAAGAACTGGGGGGAGCATGAGCTTCCATCTTGCTTTATAACACAGTGTCACTGGTATTTCTTGCCCTGCAGGCTGTGAAATTTGTCATCTGCCTTGTAACACAGTCCTTGGGTTCCATAAAACAACACAGGCAGGTGTCTGGTGTCACACAGCCAAAATAAAACGGGCTGGACTGTTCAGCTGCTGGCTGGGAGGGCAGGATTTAAAGGGACAGAGCTGCAGGGCCCCCAAACAGGAATTGTTTGTCAATACTTGGATGTATCCACAAGTTAAATTGTAATAGAACTCATCTCACTGAACATGCAAAGACCAAAAGGTGGCTGAAGACCTCATGCAAGTTCCAGTTCCAGAGATAACATGACTGGTCTTGCAGGAGGCTGTTAGAATGTGAAAGTAAATGTTGATAAATATATATATTTTTTTTTTAAATTTATTTAAAAATCATAAAGTTACTCCAGAATTTTCACCAAAAAAAGAAAAAGAAAGAGGAAAAAGGTGTGGTTTGGAATTTGAAAATCAAGGTTCTGGCCTGTGTTGTGGCCATGGCAGGGCTCTCATGCAGAAACTGCCACTTTCAGCTGTGTGCACAGGAAGGAAAATGAGGTGGAATTGTAGGAAAAGGGGAATTCTGCTTGAATTCTCCCAAGTCTGTAAGTGCAGTGATCTCCCTGCCTGACCTGGCAGAGCTGCTGTAGCCTGATGTGCATGTGAGTGACTTGGTTTGCCTTCTGCATAAGCTGGATGTGATTCCTGTGTTTAAAAAGAATAGCTTTTAACTGATCAAACTGCTTTCTTAATCTCAGTGCCTGCTACTCCTCTGTGTCCATCCAGCAGGGATGGCCTTTTGCTATCCCTTAAAAATGTGGGAAAAGCTCTTCTGGAAAGGACTGCCAGAGAATCTGGGCTGGCATTAGCTCATGTGCTTCATTCAGGGAAGGGATTTTTATTTTTTTTTAATAGGGTTTTTCTTTCTTCGTGGTTTAATTTGTGAACCCTCTTCAGAGAACACTGGAAACCCCAGAATATTTGATGAGGAGAAAGGCAGAGAGGTTGTTGATCAGCATAAAGCATTGACAACCATTTGTTGCTGGAATAAATCCATCATTAGATGGATCATTAAACCACAGGAGCAGTCATTAAAAAAGGCTCTGGCAACACACAGTTCTCATGGAAGCAGTGATTTGTACAGAAATAGTGCTTGAGAGAATTATTTCAGTTGTATATATGAAAGGGGTGGGAAAGGATCCCTGTCTTAAGTGAATTCAATTAGTGTTCAGTGAGGACGAGGGTGAGGAATTCGTGCTGGCAACCAAAAGCAGATTTGTGACACAGATTTGTGGTTTCATGCAACCTTTTCCTTGCATAAAAAAGCGATTTCCAAATGCTACTCCGACCCAGAGCAACATAGGATGAGTCTCTTGTTGATTAATAAAATAATATCCAGGGGGATTGAGGGTTTGCAGCGTCCTGTGCAATTCATCACCAAGGGAACCATGCCAAAGTTTGCAAACTTTGACCCTTATTTATACTTATTTCTGTGATTAAGAATCTTGTGTAGCTGATAAAAGATTCCACAGGAGATCAAACTCATTAATTCACAGAGAAAAACTTTGATGGTCTCCAAAGGGCTCTCCAAGTCTGGAGAGTTGCTCAAGCTCTTAACTTCCAGAATGAGGAGAGCAAAAAGGACAGCACAGAAATTAAATACAGCAATTGAGGATTTAACACCCACCCTGTCATTTCAGTGAAATATTTCCTTCCCCCTTCCTCCTGCTGTTATCAATCTTCCCTTTCTGACACGTTTCACGGCAGTTTCTGATGTTCAGAGCTCTTGTGAAGTTTATTTTCAAACAAAACTGAGGCAGCCCGTGCAAGAATAACTATTTTCATTGGGGCTGACAAATATTTTCTAACCTGAAGCTAATATTTTTAAAAGGTTCAGGCTGTTGAACAATGAAAACTAAAGCTGTCTCAGGTTGATTTAGAGATTTTTTTTTTTTTTTCCCTGACAGCACACAGCTGAATTCCAGTCACTGCCTTGGAGTTTTAAATTCTATGTCCCTTTTCTCAGCTGAAAACACAGCTTTGTGCAGGAGCATTCAGTGAAATTCAGAGGATCCCGATGGAGAATCTGTCACACTGTTTTTCCTGATGTGGTTTCATCATCACCAGGATTTTGCCTTGTCCTGTGGCTGCTGTTCCAAGTGCTGGACCCTTGGCAGAGCTTCCTTAGTGTATTAATGCCTGAGAAATGTGCTCTGTGTCTTCCTCCCGCTGTGACATCTGTTCTGCATGTGTAATTGTCTTCGTGTGGTGTCTTTGTTGGTTCCTGGACCTGAGAACACCCATCACCCACTGTCATTTTGGAAGCAGCATCACTGCCCTCCAGAGAACTCTTTTTTTTTTTTATCAGCTTTCACTGGTGTGAAACGGAGCTAAAAACCCAACCAGCTGCCCAGCGCTGGTGCTTTTTTAGCTGCTCCCCAACCCTTCTCCTCCTTCGCCTTCTCTGTGAGCAATGAGGACAAAAAAACCACCCCAGCCAGTTGTGAAAGGAGGCAGAAATTCCGAGTTCGCTCCCTCCCTCCCTCCCTCCCTCCCTGCACAGGGTGGGATTTCTGAGCAGGAAGGTGGGACAAGGAGAGCGATCCCTGTCCAATTGGCTTCTCCAGGAAGGCTGTGAGCCCTCCTTACCCCGTGATTTGTAGCAGCAGCATATTTGGCAATAAAAACCCCGTCTCTCTGGGGATTAAGAGCGCGGTTCCACTCGCGACAGCTGCCTGCGTGTGCCCGACCCGCTGCAGGAAGGGAACGGGCTGCCCCCGCTGCTCCTTCTCCCCATTTTATCGAGTGTTGTTCCCTCCCCTTCCCTCTGTTTCTCTCTGACCTCCTCACAGCTCCGGCCGCTCCGTCTCTTGAGAAGACTCAGCTGACTTTCCTAGAGCAGCCCCAGGAGATTTTTTCCTTTCCCGAGCCAACATTAGGCAGAGGACAGAAGAGGGGGGAAGCTGAACCCGAGCCAAGCCCTTTGCTGGCAAACCCTCGTCTCGGTGCTAAACCTGCTCTGAGAGCCAGACCAAGGCAGGGGAGGGACTTTGTTTTGTAGAGACAGAGGAGGAGGAAAAAGAAACTTGAGCCTGGCTTCCCCCTGTGGCATGTCCGTGCCCCGAACATCCCCTCCCCACCCCGCCGGCTGTTAAATGAGAGCACGTGAAGAACATGAGGTTTCCTGCTTGAGCAGGGCGGGCAGTGCTGGACCGGGCGAGGGAGGAGGAGGAGGAGGAGGAGGAGGAAGGCGAGTTGTGGCTTTGTGGTGTGGTTTACACCGAGATCAGAGCGAGAGCGCCCGGGGGTGGGAGCAGAAGGAGAGCAAGGGCGTCTGATGCCAGCTGCCAACATGACAGAAACCCTGCAGCTCCCAGCCCTGCGAGTGCCCGAGCAGCAGGGGCTGGAGGGCTGTGCCTGGTCCAGCTCGTCCACCCCGACCCTGCGCAGGAAGCGCTTCAAGATGAGGCGGATGAAGAACGTGCAGGAGCAGAGCCTGGAGGCCGGCAGGTTCCAGGAGTCTCCTTCCTCCAGCAAGGAATACCTGCAGCTCCCATCCATTGAGATCACCCCCTCCAGTGACGAGGACACCCCCTGGTCCAACTGCTCCACACCCAGTGCTTCCCCGCGGCGCAAGCGCTTCCTCCTTCGGAAGTGGCTGCGCGTCAGAGAGAAGAAGGAGTGCAGTGAGAGCAGGTATGTTCTTTGGCCACTTCCCCTTCCCTGCTCCCAACGTGACCCTGTCCATGCAGGCAGGCAGGGGCTGTGTCCCCCTGGATGCATTGGTGTGCTTTTCCCTGGCTGGAAAGTCGTGGTGTTGGTTGGACTTGCTGGTGCCAGACCAAGCGGCCTGATCCTTGTGTGAGGACAGGAGGTGTGTTGGAAACAGCAGTGCTGGGGTCTGTCCTTGCTCATGGTCCTACAGATAACACAGAGCCACTGAAAACAACTCCCTGCTGAGAGAGGGAGACTGTCCCGAAGGAGTGGGTGGTGATAAGACTTAACTTCATTAAGGTGACCCGAAGAGACCCTTGAGAGCGAGAGGGGAGGTGACCTCCCTGCTGGCATTGCCTGCACAGGAGTGATGATGCCAGACCTTTGTTAATGTTGGTGGTGCTCATTCCTCCCGCTGAGACCTTCCCTGTCATCCTTTGTAGCTGCTGTTGGGAGGAAGCGAGGACGAGACAGAGAAACCAAGTAGGTGGGTCTGCACATCAAGGTGTCTGGGTTCCCTTCTTGGCAGCTTTGCAGACCCAAAAGTCACTTGGTCTTTTGGCTCAAAAGGGGACAGATCATTCACAAAGGCTTCCAAGACCTTGTCCACACAGGGAAATTAATGCCCAGGGAGTTATTGTGTGGCCACACAAAGATAAAGCTGTACCTGGTGTAACCCCTGCAGGTGCAGTCAGGCCATACAACATGCAGTGGAATCAACCCTACCTTTAACAGGAGGGTGGAACAATCTACCTTTCCTGAAGGCCCCAAATACACAAGAAACTTTAAAGGTTTCTCCAAGAAATTAGTGCTGCATAAATCTTCACACTGGCTTGGTGTGGGCCAAGTTTTCTTTTGTTGTTTGCAACTCCCATGCAGCTGATCTGTGGGTTTGTCCCTGAAAGGAAGTGCTGCACTTCCATGAGAAGAGAAACTCAACTCTTCCCATTCCTACACCCAACATGCTGGGTTGACTCACTGCTGTGTTGCTTCAGTGTTTACAGGACAGAGCTTTTAATATCCACTCTGATTTTGTGATAAGTCTTCTCTCACGAGGTCCCTTCAGCAAGGTCAGTCTGTCATTGTATTAATTTTTAAAGAAGTTTCCTCAATAAATGCATGCCACTGAGGATTTGATAACCCATCTCAGTAACTCAACATTGAAAAACATCTCCTAGTTGGGAACTGTTACTGATTTTCACATAGCTGTGGTGATTTAAGTAGTGATTCAGTGGCACCACACAAAATGGGAAAGATAACACATAAGACAAGTGTCAGAATCTCCAACTTTAAGGTCTGAAGTTCAACAGAGGATGGCTCTTCAGCTGAAGGATTTATTTTGTATTTATTGCTGGTGGATGTGTTTGAGACAGAGGCCAAGACACGTTTCTTTTGGTGTGAATGCCTAAGAAAACTTAGTTTGTTCCCGTGCCCGTATTTCCCGGCCCTGCTGACAGCTTTCTGCTCGTCCATCTCCCAGACATTTCTGCCTGGCTATGCTTTTGAAGCAGTGATTGGAAAAGAGGTGAAGTGTTTGATGGATTAGGTGGCATTAGCATTCCAAAGCCAGCGTGGCACCTCTTTTCTTCATGTGCAACAGGCTCCAAATCGATCCCTTTTGCAATGGGAAACACAGTGTTTTCACATGGAATTTTTCCCTTTCTAGTCCAGATGGAAAAACCCCATTTGGGGGGTTTTTGGTCACTGTGCTGATCCTCTGGGCTTGGAGGGTGCAGAGATCATCACTGGGCTTTCACAACTCAGCAGGTGCTGAAAGGGCACAGAGGAAGCAGAATCTGTGGGTAACTGGCCACAGAAAGTGTGATGAACCCGAAAGGATTTTGTGGCATTAATTTGAGAGACTTAACAGCTCAAACTGTGGGGTAAACCTGAGTTTTGCCTGTGAAACCCTGCTCTAAAATAGCAGGGCAGGAAGCTGGTTTCCTATAAATCAAACAAGTACTGCTTGTTTGCCTTCCCTGCTTTAGACTTTGTCATCAGCCTCTCGAGGCCATTCATGTTTGTAACAGATGCTCTGTAACATAATTAAGTATATTACATAATATATTATATGCAATAATACTAATATATAAAATAGATATTAATATATAGAATATTATAACTAATATATAGAATATATATCAATATATAGAATATATATAGAATAATATTAATATATAGGATATATATTAATACATAGAATACCAATATATAAAATACATATTTATATTTTATATAATATCTAAAATATATTAATATATAGAATATATACTAATATAAAAATACATAGAATGTATAGAATATACATTAATAAATATATATTAATCTATAGAATATATATCAATAAATATTATATTGATTTATAGAATATATATTAATATATTAATTTATAATATATATAATATATAGAATATATATTAATTATAGAATATATATTAATTTATGAAATATATATTGATGTATAGAATATATATTAATATAATTTATTGTGCTGTTTGTTTGTTGAAGGGCAACAACCTTCAGTGTTTTGTCCAGGGATTTATTCACCAAGCCCTGTTTTGGAGTTGAGCTGTTGGTGGTGCTTGGCCTGTCCAGCAGTTTAGTTACACTGTGGTAACAAGGATTCCCGAGGGGGCCACTGAGCCAGGAGTGCAGGCATCCTATTAGGACGTGCAGATTCCCAAATTTAGGTATTGATCCCATTAAGCAGGATTCCCAAATTTCACCTGCTAAAGGGTTGCAGCTCCCACCACAGAAATCCAGTTTGCTGCCAGTGGCTCCCTCTCTCTGGTTAAAGTGCCACCAGGCAGCTTGAATTTCATTTTTGGCCTCTGGCAGCCCTTACCCCCGTCCTGTGGCCGGTGGTGTGGCTGTTTGTGTGGCAGGGTTTTCCCAGGAAAGCTGGGGCACCCCCTGAGTCCCTCCAGCCAGGCACTCATGTGTGCTGTACTCACATGGCCCAGAGCAAGAGCTCAGTGACCATTAGCACACAGAGAGCAGCCAAGTGAATAAACAAATGCTTTTAGGGCTCCAAGGGCTGTCTCTAATGCTCCAGCTCTGCTTTTCCCACCCGGAAACTCCAGCCCACAACACCTTCTGTATCAGCTGGTTGGTTTTTAACAGCCTGGCTGGTTCGAAGGTGTGTTTACCTGCTGTGTTGGGTGGCTGATGGAGCAGGAGGGAGACTTCCTTTCCTTCCATTCAACAGCAGAGATGGCATCTGAGAGCCTCTCTTGCCTCTGACTCAGTTTTGTTCGAGGTGAAAGAGCAGAAAGGTGCCATTTCTCGGGGGTAGGACTCTCCCTGCAACTTGTCCTTGTACAAAAGCATGATCCAAGCTACAAAGTTGGTGTTTTGGGGGCCTACAGATGATAAATATATTGATTTTTATAAGGGGTGCAGACAGCTTCTTACCTGTACTCCTCACCCAGGTAATGAAGTTATTTACCTGCATAGAGCTCTGTAAAATATGAACCCAGGTGCACAAGTCTTTTATTAAGACATGATGATGTTTCTGTCTTCAGAGGCTGGAGATGCAATCTGTCAGCATTTTGCTGTGCATGTAATGAACATGCATTATTGATGTGGGGGTAAGGGAGTTTATCTGCTTTAATTTATTATTTACTTCTTAAAGCCACCCTTGCCTGTAATCTCTGCTGGCTCAATCCTTCCCCAGAGCTCCTTTGGCCTTGAGCTCTCCAAGATCACCTTGTTTTGTCTTCTTGTCCTGAAGATGAATTTGTCTGGTCAATCCCAGCATCCAGAATGTGAAATTTGTGGATTTTGAGGGGAATACCTGTGCAGTAGCTCTGACATTCCTAAAGATGGATGTACTCAGGTTGGTTTTTTGCTGGAAACTCTGACACTCCCCGTGGGTTCACCTGAAAGCCAAGACTTGCCTAAGTCCTAAAATGCCTCTGATGTGTTAAAAATGAAGTGTATTATTGGAAGCACATCTTGGAAGAGTGGCTGTGCTGAGGAGATGGAGGTTTTTTGAGCTGCCAGATAGACAACTGCAGAAGTTTTTCAGCTGAAATCTTTAACTTACCTGACAGTATCAAATAAATGACAGGAGACTCTCTAGACTGCTCAGCAGTTTGCTTTGTGGCTGCCACTCTTCACATGGTGTGGAAAGAGGCAAAACTTCTATTTTTTTACCTTAAAAACACTTCCACTTGTCAAGTGTCTTGGTCACCTTAGTGAGACACATGAGTGAACTGCTGGTTTGTTGGAACATGAGCTAAAAATATTAGTTACAAAGAGGGGGCTCAGATATTTTGAATCTTTAATTTAAATGAATCTTTAATTTCAACTAGTTCATAATGCTTTTGCTTTCCTTAAGAAAATTGAAACCCACAGTGTTTCTGGGAATAAATTAATGCTTCATTCACCTCTTTCTTCCTTGCACATGTAAAAAAAATATTGTGTTTTCTAGAGGAAAAAGCTCTCATGAAAGCCATTGATGTGGGGTTTTTTTCATAATTAGCAGAAGAGGCAAATGCATCTTTTTTTCCACGTCCTAGCTGGGGCTGGTTAATTGAGGTTTTTGGGAAGACAAATATCAGTTGTTGATCTCTGAGGAAAGCAGCTGATCTTCTCTGCTTTTGGTAGCTTTGGGAAGTTCACAAGCACAAACTTCCCTCTGTGTGGTATCTCTCCTAATCTGAAATGTGGGAGCTCAGTAGCAGCTCAGCCATAATGTAATCTTTTTTCTTTTCAAACCTGCCGGTTCAAATGCAACTTGTGCTTCCAGTAAAGCAGATTTTTTTTCAAACGTCTCCTCCCAGGAAAGCTGATGTGCTGTTTGCTGGGTCTGCAGATTTTTTTGCCATTTGTTTAGGATAATCTGTGCCAAGTGACTGTGAATTCCACCAGCTCTCTTTATTTGTCTTGGCTGGATCTTATTGCCCTCGTGCAGCAGTTTGTGGTTTTCTTTTAAAATATTTGCCTTCCAGTATTTGTGTGGTTTAGGATGACCAAGA